TTGTGTTCTTTCTCTTAAAGAGTACCCTAAATTGCATAAGCTTCAGGCCCCACAAACCTGGATCTGCCCCTGCTCAATCCTCTTCTTGCTCCCTGGGCTCCAGCTGTATTGGATACCGTCTGTGCCCGTGGCTTAGGAAAGTGCCTGGCACATAGTAGTATCAGAGACATATTTGTGAATGGATGAATGACTCAAAAACAGGAATGCTAGAATGTTAACTACCTGAAAACATGAATTTTGTGTGTTTCATTTGTTGCTGCATTCCCACATCCAGAACAGTGCCTGGCACACAGCAGGTGCATATTAAGTATTTTTTTGAATCCAGGCCTGTTCAACTGCAAACAATTCTTCTTTCCACTGCCCCCAGTTATTACCAGTTTACAAAGCATTTTCCCAACGTCCACTCCACAGCCCTGGCAGGTGTCATTTTCGTATTAGAGTTAAAGCTAAATGGAGGATCAGAGGAAGAAAAGTGACTCACCCCAGGTCACCCAGTCAGTGGCAGAGCTGACGTTCAAACCCAGTTCTCTGGCGCCAGAAAGCCTCATCCTCCATGGCCCTCCCAAGAAGTTGCCCCACCATAGGAACGCAGATGCTGAAGGAGCCAGTTCCACAAGCCAGAGCGAACAGGTTCCCAGAAGAATTACTCCATATGGACACGAGGTGGCGACCATGTACAGAGTAGTACCGAGTAGTTACTATAGTGACCGCACAGGGTAAAGAAAGCAAAACATTTGTCAGAAGCCTAACTTTGGACCTCCAGTTTCATTTGTTCCCCTCTGTCCTGCTTTTGCTTCCTTGGCCATTTGGGCCTCGGTTTTCTTCTCTGTCAAATGGAAATATTAACCCGTACTTACTAGTCAGTATGTTATGACGCCTGTGCATAGTAGGTGTTCAACGAACGAGTTCTTCTGATAGGGACCAAGGCATTCGGCAGCTATGTGAAATTTTTCTTAGTCCTGCACATTGGCCAGAGAATGACTTCCAGGAGGAATGAGAGGAAAATTTCCTGTCGATGATCACCTACTGTGGTAGGCTGAAAAATGGCTCCCACACCCTAATCCCTGGAGCCTGTGAATGTTACCTTATATGGAAAAAGGAGGGGTCTTTGCAGGTGTGATTAAATCAAGAATATTTATATGGGAGATTATGCTGGATTATCTGGGTGAGCCCTAAATGCAATCACGTGAATCCTTGTAAGAGGTAGACAGAGGGAGATTTTACACATGCACAGTAGAAGACATAGGCAGAGATTGGAGTGATGCAGCCCCAGGTCAAGGAATGCCAGCAGCCACCAGAAACTGGAAGAGTCAAGGAGGAAATTCTCCCTTAGAGGCTCCCAAGGGAGCACAGCCTGGCCAACACCTCGAATTTGGCCCAGTGAAATTGACTTCCGCCCAGTGAAATATGAGCTAAACTATGGCCTCTGGAAGGTTTGGGCAAAACAAGACAGAGTGGCAGAGACAGGACAGAAATCTCACTGATGAACAGGGGCTCAAGATATGTGGAGAGCAGGGAAGGGGACACCAGATTCTGGGTTGGCTTACTAACCAGGGTGATGCCACAGGTGGTGTCCTAGAGCAGGGGTGGGGAGCCTGCGGCTTTCTAGGTCCTTAAGTGCAGCCTTTTGACTGAATCCAAATTTTACAGAACAAATCCTTTTATTTTTATTAATACATTTTTGTTCATCTTTTATATTTTTATTTTATCTTTAAAATGAATGTATTTAGAATACCAAAGAATAAAATAAGTTTCAAGGAAATAATCTTCCCAGATTGACCGGCACAATTAGAACATTAGTAAGTCACAAAGGCTAAATTGACAGCTGCTATACTCATGATTTAGTTCTAACATTCCCCCCTGACTGGTGCCACTGCCACACTAGTCTGGATGGTGAGAGTTTATGGGGGTCAAGTACTCCAGTCTGTTATCAGCTTTTGACAACTGTGCACTGTGCTTCTGTTTGAAGTGGAATTTGTGAATAGTTGCACAGCTCAACAGTATTTTTTAATTCTGTCTGCTTAACAGCCCATCTTGTCAAAGAAAACCAAGAGAACGCTGAAGGAAGAAAACAGATTTTTTTTAATGAGGATTGGGAATTGCAATATTATTTTTACTTTGCATGGCCGGGAAGATGTCTCTCTAGATGATGATAGCTAACAAGCTTGTCCATTTGTAATAGTCGCAGTTTCGCAACTCAGTATATAGTCACCAAGCAATAATGACAAGCTGCCATTTATTGGCCTTTCCAGGGCCAAGTGCTGTGCGAGATGATGTAAATGCATTGTCCGGTTTAATCTGCACAATAATCCTGTGAGTAGGATTATTATCTCCTTTTTAACAGATGAGGTAACTGAGGCTCAGAGAGGCTGAATAACTTATCTAAGACCAAAAAGTAAATGAATAGTGGTGCTGGAATTAACACTTGGGTTAACAACCATGTTTGTAATCAGGATCATGCAAGTTAAGATCACAATCTGATACCACTTTGCACCCATGATATTGGCAGAAATTAAGAAGATTGATAATACCAAATGTTAGGGAAAAGATGTGGATCAACGGGAACTCTCATACACTGCTTGTGGGAGTGTAAATGGACCCACTTTGGAAAACATGTTTCTTGTAAATGTAAGCATTCTCATACCTTCACTGCAACTCTTAGATATATATTCCAAAGAAACTCTTGGACTTGTGCATGTGCACCACCCAGGAAATGTGAACAAGAATAGTTACGGTGGCATTGGTAATAACAGCAAAAAACGTCAGTCCAGGACAGGTAGGAGACAGAAACCACACCAGGTATTTTCACACAGAGAATTTAATATAGAGAATTGTTAACTAAGTATAAAGTTGTTAACTAGGTTCCTGAAAAGTGATAAAAAGAACTTCAAGATAGCAGTTGCAGGAGGCGTCTACCACACCAGGTCTGAGGGAACAAAGAAAAGAGGCAGAAACTGTTAAAAATGTAAAACTTAGAGGAGGAGCCCTGTGGAGCTTAATTCAGATATCTGAGAAGAGAGCTGTGCTTGGCTGGGTCTGGTGTCTCTGACCTCAGAAAAGGGCCAGGCATGTAGGGAAGGGACCCAGACTTCAGAGGAGGAGGTACAGGCATTTGGCGCTTGTGTCTCTGAGTTCAGGGGAGGGACCCCATGGGGCTGGGATCCAGACCCTGGAGAAGGATGGAGCCCCAGGAAGGAATTGCTACTGTGCAGTGAGGAACCACTGCTGAGTGACAATCATAGGAACAGGAAGTCCACAGGATATGACAGGGAACAGAGAAGAAGGAGAAAGTCCCTTCTCTGTTCTCCAGCCTTGTCGTCTGACTCCATCCTGCTTTTTGTCAAAATCTAACGAAGTCTAACCAGGGAGCAACTAGTAACACAAAAATGTGATTTGCAGGGACCCAGCCCCAGCCTCACAGACCAGGGATTTTTTATATTACCAAATATTATATAAAAATCCCAGGTTGGTCTGACTACAAACATTGTACTTATAATGCACTCCCTCCACTCTGCCTCTGTTCACAATGGATTTACTTTTTCAAAGCCATGACAACAATATATATATATGTGTGTGTGTACATATATATATATTCTCAAAATATATATATATATTGAGACAGGGTCTTGCTTTGTCACCTGGGCTAGAGTGCCATGGCGTCATCATAGCTCACTGCAACCACAAAATCTTGGGCTCAAGCTATCCTCCTGCCTCAGCCTGGGAGGTTGAGGACAACAGGTAGCTGGTTCAATAGGTGCAAACCACCAGGCCCAGTTGATTTTTTTCTATTTTTAGTAGAGACGGGGTCTCGCTCTTGCTCAGGTTGGTCTCAAACTCCTGGCCTCAAGCAATCCTCCCGCCTCAGCCTCCCAAAGTGCTAGGATTACAGGCATGAGCCACTATTCTAACAATATGCAGGTAGATTTTCAAAAACAAACAAGGTCTACCAATAACTGGACCATCTAAACACCATGACTTTTTAATTTTCACCTTTTTTTGCTTTAGTTTTCTTATGGGCAGATGTAATTTTTCAATTATGTCTGCAGCACCCTGTACCATTGAGAGTCTCTGCTGCATCATGAACCTTGTTGCCTGCTGTTACTGACGTTGTTGTCACAAACCCTGAATGAATGAAATGCCATTTTCTTAATGACTTCCTCTTCTTTGATTCTTTGAACATCTGGATTGTATTCCTCAGGACCATTTTGGTTGCAAATGAGGGAAACCCTACTCAAATCAGCTTAAACAAAACAAATTGGCATGTGTCGCTGTGGGTGGTGGTTGTAGAATTTCCTGGCTTCAGTTGCTGCAAACAACACAGGGGTAACTCACAAAACTAGAACCTAAAATCACAGACTTAAAAAAGCTAGCGCTCTTCCTCTCTGTCCATCTCTTGTGTGGTCCTCTCTCTACTTCTCCATGAATATTAGCCTCTTTCTTTCCTACTGCAGACAGGTCTTCTTCACTTGGCAGGAAACATGGCTGCTGGCAGCCTCAGCTTTATAACTGTAATAGAAAGAGCATCCAGATAGCAATCACAAGGAAGGACTGCGATTGGCTCTGTTGGGTCACATGCCTCCCCACTGGGCCAATCATGCTTTTGGGGCAACCATAGGTTATATAATTGACCAGTCCTGGTAATATACCCACTCCTATGGCCAGGGTGGCAACAGGGCCTGTTGTTATCCGATGAAGAGGAATGGGGAGCCTTGCTGGGAAGACAAGAAAACAGCCGCAAAGTCACTACACAGGGTCTCAATTTTTCACCATGGCAACACCTGGTAAACATTACTGCACATTTAGCTCTTTCTTTGTTTTAACAATCACCTTTTAAGAAATTCCCAAGATTAGGATTGCTGCCATGGTGCTTGCCAGAGCCACATAACATGTATTTGTTTTCAAAGTGTGTTCACATCCAATTTGTGCCTCACAAAGAATCCCTGAAGGACAGAAAAGGAACCAGAGACACAGAGAAGCTGAGTGATGGATCCAGGGACACACAGCAGATGAGGGCAGAGGTGAACGCAGAGCCCTGGCTTTCTGGTGCTCTCCTCCGAAAACATCACACTCAAAGGTTAGACTAGTAGTAAGAGGGTTTGAGCCCAGTGCCACTTTCAGCCAGTTAAGGGAGGGAGCTTCGTCTGGTGTCTTCCCCTCGGAGGAGCTGGGCCAGCCCCCTTGAGGAAACGTGCTGGCAGCCCCTGCCTTCAGAGCCTGCTCGAGCCCTGATGGGGGAGGTCCCTCCGCTGGACCTGGCATCCTCCCAGTGGGCACTGTCAGCGCGCAGCTCCTGCAGGACGCTGTGAAGATGCCTCAGTGTGAGCAGGAGCCTCTGGTCTTGGATCTGCATCTCAGACTGGGAGAGAGGAGGAGTGCGTGAGAGAGTGTGCCAAGCACTGATGTCCCCCCGTAGAGCCCCTTCCCAACCACCGTCTCATCGTAGACAAGCCCACTTGTGAGTTGCACGAGCTTGCAGGAACCACATCCGCCAAAGCCTCTGCTTCCTCCTCTGCAAAGTGGAAAGCAAACTGCTTGCCTTTCAAGGATTTTGTGATGACTGGATGAATTAGCCCACTGGAAAACGCTTTCAGGGGGTCAGCATGGTTCAAAACTGCTTTCATTACAATACTAAGATATTATTTTCTTTTTTAACTTCCATTTTCTTATGAGCATACAGTGGAGTTTTCCAGAAGCTAATGGCATGTAATATCTCAACAGATTGAGCGCAGAAGCGGATATGAGAATCCAGCTGTGTTCTATTAAGCCAGACTGAAAGCAATTTGCAACATTGTAAAACAGGGCTGCTCTTCTCACTAAATATTTGCTTTGAAAAATATAGTTATTGTAGAAAAGTGAATATTGTATTAACATGTAATGAGTTTATTATATTTTTAAATGCATTAGTAATATAATGCTAAGAACTTCTCAGCTTTGGTTTCTAATTCAGTCCGTATCAATAGATATAACTCACATAAACAAAAGCTTTTTGGTGTCCTTAATAAAAAAGTTTGAGAACCACTGCATTAGAACTCTACTATCATCACTCACCCATCTCCACCCTTTCTCCCACTTTCCCCTAGGAATTGCTTCCCATATATTTTCTTTCCTTGGAAATTGTTCAGCCTGTGTTTTCTCAATTTTGGGGGTTTTCCCCCCACACATCTTTTTGTCCAACCTTCGGCACCAGCTCTGGGTACGTGCTTGTGAGGCCACACAGGCATGCCCAGCACGGAGGTGATGTTAAGGGAGGGGGCAGACACAACGCCTTTGGCTTTGAGGATGGGAAACCCTGACCAAGCCGCTTCAACCGTAGGGAAGTGTCTTTTCTCACAAAGCAAGAGGCCCTGAGATGAGGCGGGCTCTGGGCTCAGTTTGCTCAACCCCCGCAGCGTGAAGCTCTGGCCTGCCTAATGGACGCCGGCTCGGGCATCAGGCTGGTTTGCCTTGTTGTGACAAAGTGGCTGCAGCTCGTTCCCCTCTTGCAGACCCCCACAGGACTTTGGGGCTTATGAGATCCTAGGAAAAGAGGAAGAGCACCAGACTTCTGCCCAGGGTAGTCACTGGCCTTCCTGAGTTGTTCCCGCTGCTGCGTTTGAGATGACTGTCCGTGCTGGTCCTTTCCTGAGGATGGCCAAGTGAGGCCTTTTGGGTGGGTTCCAGAAGGACTCTTATGGAGTCATAATTCTGTGCAATCGGGGTTAAAAACAAGCGTGACTGGGAAGTTTATGAGTCGGGCTCTGCAGGAGGAGACCCGAGGCTCCGTACCTCTTGGCATCAGGGAGAGGGAGGTGCTTGGGCCCGGGAGGCTGTGTTGCCGGTCGGACCCCCGGCCTGCTCTCCCTCTTCATGGCTGAGAGAGAGGTACTTCATCAGTGGGGAAGTAGGCGCTCTGGGTTCAGATTAGCTGCCCACTATTTAGGGGAGCATGAGGAAGGTCAGCTGCCCAGCTCTGGATGCCTGTGGACTGTGAGAAGCTGCAGCTCCTGCTGCTGGAATCCCCTGGTCCCACGAGAAGCCCTGTTGGGTCAGCCCCTCCCTCTAGGGTGAAGACAGGGTTGGGTTCCAGCTGGCCTGTTGCCTGGAAACCCAGAAAGTTCATTTTCGGACAATCCTGTCTCTCCGCAGAATGAGAAGTGGGCATATTGGGAAACAAACCTCTTCTGAGGCTCCCTGAACTGCCCTCCTCTCTCTCTTGGCTGGTATCCCCATGCACTTTGGGGCACCCCTCTCTTTTTGGACTTGGAGAAAGTATCACAAAGAAAGGCACAAGTCCTATCTTCCTGAACTAGGGGACCAAGTAACATAACGCATATGTTCAGGAAAGTTAGTGCCCCGTGGGGTAGACCTTTACCAGAGGGAAAGCAGAGACAGCAGCTAGCTGGGCAGATAGATGTCCTCTTTGCTCTCTCCCCACCAAGGTGCAGTTCCTTCTTCAACCCTTGCAAAAAAGTCCTCTAGCAGGTAAACCAGCTACTGAGAGACCGTCTGAGGTGGTGGCCAGCTGGCTAGCACAATGCCTGGCATCGTTTTCTGGCGTAGCGTTGGTCTTTGCTACAACTCCCCGTTTCCCTCCCTCCCAACACTCTGGGCTCATACCTCCAAATAAATTGTTCGTTTCTCAATCCTTGGCTAAGACGGTCGGTGTACTCCATGTCCACCTGGGTCAGGATTATGATAGTCAACATCAATGTGCTAAGCATACACTAAGTGAATTCAAGCATCTCCTCGCCGAATCCTTGCAATAACCTCTACGGTGTTGGTCCTGTTGTTATGCCCGTCTTATGATAAGGACACTGAGGCTCAGAGATAAAGCTACCCGCTAGAGGCCACACAGCCGCAGAGCTGGGCACATACCCAGGACTCAGTGTAATTGTAAAACCAGTCTGGCGAGCACCACACCCAGCGCCTCCTATGTAGGCCACGACCTACTTATCCCCACACCTGAGATCACAATTGTGCTCTGTGTGGCTGGTCCCAGAGGGGAGACTGCAGGGCCCATAGCCCAGCCTGGGGGGCACCTGGGAGAGGAGATCAGAGAACCTTGGAAAATACATGGTGGGGACGTCAGGGAAATGGAAATACAAAGCCTTACCAGCTCCTTTCTCAGCCACGCCAGGGTCTGCCCAAGATTTGGGGTTGGCTCTTCTGCTGTTTTCATCTCAGTGTCCTTGAGAGCAACCTTGACACTGACCTGGTTATGGGCCTGAGGGATCTTTGACTTGTACAGTCCCCCACCTCCTTCAGGCTGGCAGCAGGTTCTGGCCAAGTCATTGAAGATGGAGTTAATGAGAGCAGGAAGTAGCTCACAGTGGAAAATGTCATTTGGCTCTTTTTTTTTTTTTAAAGGGCTTTAGTGCTCTGAACAGAACCAGATGGGAGGGAGGGAGAACGTTAAGGGTCTGGGTACCCCAATGCCTGATGGTTCCAGAAACCAAGAAGATATGATGCCAACAGGATCACAGAGACTGTAAAGCTTTAGATGGCAATAATAATGGTTATTATGAAAATAGGTGCTCCTTTTTGAGGACTTGTTTTGTGTTTTACATATAAAGTGCATCTCATTTGGGGCAGAGACCCCACCTGTCTCCCCAGCCCCCTTCCCCTCTTACTGACTTACCTATAATGAGCTTAGATTAAGGGAAATGCTGATTTTCCAAGTTCCCTTACTTTTGGAATACCTAGGTGACCCGTTGCTAGCAAATGATATCGAAGCAGAAATTTGCTATTAGGCTTCCAGAAAAATTTTATCTTACTAATAAAAAGAAAAATGCCACTAATGCTTTCCCTTTACTCCTACTTTCTCCCCCTTCCTCTGCCTTGAATGCAGATGTGATGCCTGGAGCTACAGTAGCCATCTTGCAACCATAAGACAAAGGCCAAAAAAACTGCAGAGAGGTTTGAAATCATTGAGTCATAGAATTAGAAACAGCATCTGTCTGTTATGTGAGACAATAGGCCCTGTTTTTAATTGGGCACTTTGCTACTTGCAGGAAAACGCAATCCTGATTTATTCTTCACATCACACTGTGAATGAGTATTCTTTAATTCTCTCTTTCACCAAACATTTATTGAGTGTCTACTATCTGCCATACTTCTGCTCCAGGCACTGGGGATGTCACCCAAAATCAGAGAAAAAAAGGCCTGGCGTTCCTGGAGCTGACATCCTAGTAGTGAATGGAAATAAACAATAATCAAATTAATGCTGTGATGAAAATAAATAGAATCTAGTCTTACATAGGTTTTTAAAATATAAATTTATTCTATCCACATAAACTAGGAACCCCAAAGTAAGAATTAGCATAGTGATCCCAGATAAAGATCTGAGATGACTGGCAAAACAAACTCAACCCATTTTAGGGGGACTTGCCCTCAATTCTGGTTATACAAAATATCCACAGATTAAAGGTCCTCCAAAGATGAACTCATAATCCAAAAAGACAAAACACACAGGCAAACCATCCACCATAAGTGAGCGTCAGCAGACACTATCCACAGCAGGATTAGACCCCTCTTTCCCCAAGAACTTCAGATGAAGATGATTAGAAAGTATTTTGAAAAGAATTAAAGGCATACAAGAAGGAATCAAAATCATACCAAAAAGGACACTATTTAAAAAAGCAGATTTGAAAAAGAACTCAATAGAGTTTATGGAAGTAAAAATTACAATATTTATAAATTAAAGAGAAAACAGTATACATTTATGGTAAGCCCAGAAAACAGAGCTAGGACAGTGGGTACAGGACATAGGGAGGCAGGCTGAGACTCAGTAGGAGGAAGGTGTTGCTTGGAATTCTTATAAGCAGTGGGCATTCAGCCAGTGGAGTCCAAAAGCATAGCCCAGATGATTGGGGAGACTGCAAAAGGGGCTCCACTGGCTTGGAGGTGGGACCTGGGGCTCCTTCCAAGGATAAGACCAACTGTGCAGGAAAAGGGGCACTATATAGGCAGCCAGGACATGTGGGCTCTAACCCCAGCTCTACCAAACTTTCTTTTTTTTTTTTTTTTTTTTGAGACAGAGTCTCACTGTGTCGCCCAGGCTAGAGTGCCGTGGCGTCATCCTAGCTCACAGCAACCTCAAACTCCTGGGCTCAAGCAATCCTTCTGCCTCAGCCTCCCGAGTAGCTGGGACTATAGGCACGCGCCACCATACCCGGCTAATTTTTTTCTGTGTATTTTTAGTTGTCCAATTAATTTCTTTCTATTTTTAGTAGAGACGGGGTCTCGTTCTTGCTCAGGCTGGTTTCGAACTCCTGAGCTCAAACAATCTGCCGGCCTCGGCCTCCCAGAGAGCTAGGATTACAGGCGTGAGCCACCGCGCCTGGCCTACCAAACTTTCTTTGTGAACTTGGGCCTCATCCTTTCCCTCTTAGGCACAATGAGGCTCAAAATAGTTACCAAAGTGAGTCATGAGGAATGTCACATTTCTTGTGTTCTGACGTTTACAGCCTGAGATGCATTCTGACTGCCACATGCAGGCACAATTTTATGTGCAATTTCTCCTAGCTCAGTTGCCACTCTTCAGAACCAAAGGGGATCTGAGAAACTCCTGCCTGCTACATTCACACCCCTTCTGAACACAAGGGGCCAGAAATCATTCCTTCTGGGCAGGTCACTAGACTGTGTGTCGCACGGCCCTGAAATCATGGGACGATTGTCTGGCACAGAGATGAGTGCCCCCATCCGAGGCAGCTATCTACAGACTGGACAGGAGGGGAGATCCTAGCTTGTGGGTAACTGGTATTTGAGGAGCTATGTTCTGGGTGGTGATCAAATGACCCAATCATATCTGCTCTTGGAGACACTGAATTTGCCACAGATGGAGAGGTTGGATTTGTCGCAAGAGTGCTGTGTAACAAACCTCACCAAAACTCCACACTTTCCAACAACAATCATTTATTTTTGTTCATGAGTTTGTGGGTTGGCTGGGATGGTCTGCTTGGGTCTGTAGACTTGCAGGTGTGCTCTGCAAATCTCTTGTTCTCCTCCTGGAATCACGAGGCTGCTGGGGCATGTTCTTCTCTTGGCAGTGGCAAAGGATATGAGAGCAAGTGGACCATGAGGCCTCTGAAGGCTTAGGCTCAGAACTGTCACATTGTTGCTTCTGACAGGTGCCACTGGGCAAAGTGAGTCACTTAACATACATAACGTCAATTCATCTTTAAAACCTTATGATTTGGCCAGGCGCAGTGGCTCATGCCTGTAATCCTAGCACTCTGGGAGGCTGAGGCAGGAGGATTGCTTGAGCCCAGGAGTTTGAGGTTGCTGTGAGCTAGGCTAATGCCATGG